GGACTTGAACCGCTGAAGCGTCGACCATTTCTGGCCGGCAACTTTCAGCGTCATTAAGCCGCTGCGCCACCGCGTCCCCCTTGTATGTGTTTACTCAGCAGTAATAAACATCTGCATCACTGACACAAACATTGTGATAAAGAAAGCAAAACCCCTTCAATCCCTCCCTCCAAAAAAAGAACTCATATAGGAAGTTGTCCTGCGCAGGGTCAAATTATTTGCCCATCCAGCCCGGCACTGACCATTTCTAATGCTGTTTTTCTGCATGATGTGAACCCTAGACTATACACGTGGGGTTAGCCATAAGGACTGGAACTATTTTCCCTAACTGGTTTGAAAAATATTAAGTCCAAAGTCTAAAAGACTTACTCCACTGGTGTTGTTGCCACTTGCTCCTCCAGTTTCCTTCTTTTATGTTTAATGTCCCCTTGCTTCTTCTCTCTGTTGCCCATCTGGCTACTTCTCTGGTGTTTTCCAGCCTCTTGGGCCTGCTGTGAATTCTTCACTTGCATGGATTTTTCAGATCTGATGACACCTGCACAACCCAAACCTTGAGCTGGAAGCTTAGATGTCAGCTTCTTTTCAGTTCCATTTGGTACTGATATCTGAGGAACAGTTTTGTCATCTCTGACAGTGTGCTTTTTCTTGGAATATGTGTTGGGTGCAGTAAGAGCAGAATTCAGATTGGCAGCCTTTTGTTGCAGAAGCTAAAAAGAAACCAAAACTCACACATTCAGTTTTCAGGTTAGATTTACACAGCACGCTAAGCCAGATTTTCACCACAGTTTGCTAGATGTACCAGAACTGGCTGGCTGGCTGGATTGATTGAATTTGTATGCCGCCCATCTGCCCCAACGGGTGACTCTGGGCGGCTCACAATTAAAAAGCTAGGATTTACCCAGCTCCCTGAGCCAAAACTGGTTTAATGTGATTTTTCAGCCTAGTCTCAAATTTAGGGTAGCCTGCTGGAGATTCCAACCAACTTCAGTTTAAGAAGATTTAATTATGTCACCATAATACCTCCCAAACACTTCCCAAGCATTTTTATTTGCATGAAATCCAAGCAGTGTACTTTTTAATCTCTTCTTTCATTTGTGAGCATTTGGGTAAAACTTCATCCCTGAATTATTAACTTGACTTGGTCTGAGCCAAAATGTAGGGTGTCCAGCCTTTGTTCACCAGGGATTTCCCTATCCCAAACGTTCCCTTCTTTTATATAATTAATCAGAGATTAACATGATTGCCCCATCCAGAACCTGACACTCTATTTCATTCTAACATCAGATACAGATCCCCCAAAAGGAGCAAAAAACAAAAAAGAAAAGGAAAAGTAAGGGAAATCACTGTCCCAATATACCTTCTGTAGGACTTTCCAGTTTGAGGAAACTTCTTGTGGAGTTTTTGGAGGCAGTTCTACTACTACTTTGGAATCCTTGTGCACTCTCTTCTCTACTTGGTTGATCTTCTTTTTCCAGAATATCCTTTTCTTTTTCTCCTTTCTGTGTTGGTTCTTAAGGTTTTCTGGCTTAGTTGTTGAGTTGCTGGATGAGGACGGGGATTCCTTCTTCATTTTGGCCATTCTGATACGAGACGGTCAATCAGCGTTGGCCACAACCACTAGGACCGAAAACACAGAAACTCATCTTTTATCATTCGTATAGCAGAGAGCCAACCACATGAAACATCTTTTTTAAACAAGGCATCTTTAACCTAGTGGCCAGAAAACAGATTCAGGTTTGCACTCCTCCCCCTCCTGCACATATTTCAAAGTAAGGTGGAACCTAACAACCAGGACCAATAGATAGGCAATAAACCCTGGGGCAAATTCATACCTCAAGCTAAATTTCAATCTCCAGTGAAAAGGTTCTAAAATATTACTTTGGAGTTTAAATGCCAATTAGAGTATACAGCATTTTCATACACAAAAGTCCATATTAGTTTTCTCCAACCTTTTGTACCAGGCCGATGAAGGTCTCCATGGAAAGGAACAGCTGGTTCCAAGTCCCTGCATTAAAATGTAACTAAGCACAACTTCCAGAAGAAATCTCAGCCACTGGGGGAGGGGAATCACTAAGATAAGATGGGGTCACACATTATCCTAAGCGTAGGTTAACAAAGCACAAGGACTGGATTCACAGAGCAACCTCAACCTTCGTTCTTCAGTTGCACTCCTACAAGTTAACTGGATTCTTGAATTGATCTATTGTCTGGGTTGCAATATTATAGTCTACTACAGAGTAAACCAGCGGGCTGGATTTACAAAATACTGTGCATTAAGACATAAAAGAACCCAGGTAACTACTAACCAAGGATAGCTAGTTATGTGAATGCAACTGCCAGATCTTGCCCTGGCACGGCTAAGCATGAGCTACAGGAACCTTGTCTCCTCCTTATAAACCGCTCACCTCGCCTTTCGCGGCTCTCAAGCTGCATGAAGGACTTCCTTAGCAGACCGAAAGGACCCACCGCCTTTCCCCTCCGTCCCCGCATCAAATGCGTCCCTAATACAGCAGCCACGCGTGACTGCAGGCGTGCTGCCAATCCGAAACCGGAAGTAGGTCCTTCCCCAGGCGGCGCCGGTGGGAAACACGAAACGGGTTACTTTCGTTCCTACCGGAAGGCACCGTACCCTAGAAAGAAAAGGACAGCAAGTAGCAAACCCAAGGATTTGGGGCAGAGGCTGAAAAGCTTGGCTTTGTGACATTTAAGCGGGGGTGTTGGACCTACTGCTGGCTAGTTGTGGGTGGCCCAGCTAAAAGGGAGGTTCAAGCCAATCTTAGTCAGATAGGAGACCACCAGAAAATCCCAGAGCATTGGCTAGCTGGGAAAGAAGTTGAAAAAATATATTGGAATAAGGCAGTGGCCATTCATTAACATAACACTGTCCAAAAAACAACTTGACTATGCCCAGAAAGTGACCAGGAGCTGAGCAAAATTGAAAAGTGACTTTAATGTTCACTCAGGACTTGACACCTTCCTTGTCTTATAGGCTGAAGCGCTGTAGATTGCCCGCCTCTTCACTAAATTCAGAGATGCTCTGAAGCAGAAGAGCTTGCTTTCACGCCAGTGCAGTTTTCCCAATGATATTAGGCCAGCTGATCCAACCTTTCAGTTTCTTACATCTGTCATTATTATACATTTTCCTTGAGATAGGATGGGAAACATTAGAATCAACAGCTTCATGGTTTATAAATGGGATATTCATGGTTTTGCTCCAACACTAGGGGTGTTTCCAGAATGATGCATTAAAGAAAGGTTGGTAAGAAGATTACAGGGCCCATTGAATGATATTATCTCAGCCTTCTCAATGTTTCCCAGAGATACTAGGCTGCACAGTACAAGTAATCATGGGAAAGAACCTCACACAGATTTTTTTCTCCTCTTCCATCCTTCCTGCCCTATAGCTTTTTAACCCCCATCTCAAAGCTCATTTCCATCCCGATTATTTGGTTGCTGCTGGTCTGCAAATATTGCACAAGCCCGCCCTCTGCCCACTGGTGCCTTTAGCAAAAACATTGTCCCTCAATTGCCTGTCACATTTCTTTAAATGTGGGGCCCTTTAGCACTTCTGCTCAACAACTGCCTGTTTTCAGAAGCCAAAAAAAATCAGAACTTTTAGTGGTTGCTCAGTGCCTTCAGCTCCTGCATCATGGCTAAAAATCTTTTGATGTTATTTTTCACTCTGTTGCCTCTGAAGGTTTGTTGGCCATCCGGAACCCACCAGGTAAGTTTGACCTCTAGCCGAATAAAGACGGTGGGGGAGAGAGGGCTGTTAACCTTCCGCTCAGTGTTGATCTGCAAAGTGTCCAGCTCTTCACTGAAAATGTGCAGTCTGCAAATGGCAGAAGTGGGTCTTCTTTAATTTCATCACAGCCTGCATTAATTTTCTATGCCCAGCCTTGGATCCAACATCATGTACAACTCTGCAAACTTTGAACTACTGCATGTATCTCTTTTCAGCTGTCACTCTCTCTCTTACATTGCTGGTTTGATGTGTGGAGTTTTGACTTTGATATGTGATCTTTTGATCTGTAATCTGTGATCTGTGATCTTTTGATCTGTGACCTGTGATCTTTTGATCTTGATCTGTGAAGCTTTGACTTTTTTCCCCTTCCCCTTGCAGACATTTCTGAATATTTTGGAAGCGCATGATGTTTACTTTTATTTTGGTACCAATTCAATCTTTGAAGGTAAGAAGACACAAAGTCTGGCACTGATTTTAATTACTGTTGCCCTGATTTTAATTATGACTGAGATGCAATGAGGCAATGCAATGTATTGTTTTAGCTCAGTTGTGTTCCATATTTACAAACAGGAGGTATTTTCTGCAAGGTCTCTGCCTCTGGAAACTCGAGGAACACCTCTCTCCTTTTCACATCTTCTTACTTGCTAAGGCACTTAGAAGAAGCTGGTTCCTTTTGCTTATTTAGTTTTGTGATGTATTTTGATTTTGTTCTCCAAACTGAATAATAGTGATCTGCTTGCATGAATAGATACATACTTCAGAACGTTGCTCTTGATCAGGAATGTGCAATCTCCTTTGGGTTGTGGGTCACAGCTGGCTTGGAGGAGTGTGCCAAAGGCTGATGTGAGGAGGAACTAAAGAACCTAAGACTAGGATATTGGCAAAACACTATGTATGGGTCTTCTACTGTACACCCAATGTTTAGAAACAAACAAGAAGTTTGTTACTACTCAAGGACAGGAAAAAGGCAGTTGTGATTTAAACCCTGCTTTATGCGATATAAATATGGCTGGGTTCTTAGATCCTGCAGTAGTTGATCATTATTAGAACTCTCTTACTATTTACAATAAAAACAACTTGTCTATCTCAAGTCTTGTCCTTTACTCTTCCACTGACAGCTGAGTGCAGATTTGAGTTCCTGGAGAGATTCATTTTATTGTCCTGGAGGACATTCTGACAGCCACATTCCATAAAGCTGGGGATGCCAAGACAAAGAAGTGGGAGAGAGAAAGATGAAATGTAAATTAAATATGTCTAATATAATTATGCCCTATTTATTTAATAATTTTCCTCTTCTGTCATATTAAAAACTATTCTTTTACAGCAACTTTTGGAAAGGATCTGAGAGCCCCCTCAGAAAGTTCTCAAACTGTTTTCCATTTTAAATGTAAAATAAAACCAAGTTTGGTTTTGTTCATACCCAGCATTTCTGCCTCTCCATTCCCATGTTTCCAGTGCCAGAATTTGAGGTTGTGCCTCTGACTTGCTCCTGTGAAGACAGACCTGCTGGAGCATCTTGCAGAACCCAGCGTTGTTCCTTCCAAGCTTCAGGGAATCTCTATGCCTTTGAATTCTCTCACGATCAAGCTCTCTTTCCCCCATTTTTTGTGAGCACCCGAAGATTAAACTCATCAGCTAGTTTGCTGCGACGTTTAAGGAATAATTGCTTTGCTGGAGGGAGGGCTCTGAAACCCCCAGGTGCAGAATGCCGAGTAACATACTGTGAAGGACAACTGGTGAGTAAAATCTCAAGATGTTTCAGGCTGTTTTAATGAGTTCCATTAAAATCTTTCGGTGTATTCTGCATTCAAATGGAGAGTATATTGGAACAGTTCAATGTTCGTTTAGTTTTAGAGTGTCAACTATGTTTTAAAAAATCTTCATTCACTATTCATTTGCGTTTGGTTAACAAACATAACCACAAAATGCCCAATATGATGGGCATGCATGAGCAGAAAACACCCATTTATCAAAAGCCAAACTGTTGAAGCTGTTTTCTGTCACTCCTTCTTGTCACTGCCATTTTAAAAAAAATTAAGCATCCTGTGGGAACTATGTGGGGGTCCAGAAGCTCTCTTGTAAATAAAGATGATGTTAGAGGCTGGGGCTTACCTCTGTAAGAGGCAAGCTTCCCAAGTATTTGTATTTCTTACATTAAAAAAACTCTTAAACAATTCAAGTCAGTTGGGACAGGAAGCCCGATGGAATTACATGCAAATGAGGGGTTCTGTTTTCTCTTAGCAAGGTTTTATCATTGTTCGCGGCAAGAAGGTTCACATCAGGCCGGTGAGAAACCAACACCGACACCAGCTGATGGATTCGCATCTTCCCAGACCCCATATCATCTTCAGTACTCTGCAGAACTATTCAACATCAGTACAGACAAGTACGTTTTTCTTGGAAATGAGGCAGAATCCAGAAGCAAAGGGGCATCCTTTTCTTAAATCTGTCCATTTGATCAGTTATTATTGGAAACCCATATAAAAACAGAAGTGACATATCTATAATAATTAACTTCTTTAAACATTGGGTTTGTGTGCTTAATGGTCCTTTCATCTCTCCCCCTTCTCTGTGCGCCATTGCAGAAGGAAGGGTTCCATCCCGGATTCGCAGAATGGCTGAGGAGAAGGTGAAACACCTGGAGCTCTTGGTGGTGGTAGGGCCAGATGTCTACCAGTTCCACAAGGAAGACACCGAGAGGTACATTCTCACCAACCTCAACATTGTGAGTTCCTTTTGGGCTACACATGCAAAATGTCTTTACTTCTTGTTGGGAGGCTTTGATGGGGAGACACACTTAGGTTGAAGCTTTAGTTCAAGTTGAGTAATGAAAATAATTTTCAACAATTGCAAATATAAGGCAGGCCTTTGCAATGAGTTCTATTAATAGGCTTGCTTGTTTTGGTCATTCTATCCTTCCAGGCCTTTTTCTTGGAAGGCTTGGTAGGCAAAATACATCAGTTAACTGAATTTAGGTGTTCCCAAAATACTTCATATGATTGGGTGGATTTAGTTTAAACCTGCGCATGACTGAGTCTGTTTTGGGTTACGTTCGATTAAGCTTTTTGGCATGGTCCTACAACACATTGACTGATTTAAGTGAACTATGGGAATAGAGGCCAAAGTTGCATTCATTTTTCTTTGCAAATTAACGATGTGTTAATCTCAGATTCTGAACTTCTCCTTAGAAACCACTTGAACATATTTTTTTTCTCTTACACAGGGAGCAGAGCTTCTTCGAGATGCTTCACTGGGTGCTCAGTTCAGGGTTCACCTGATCAAAATGATTGTCCTCGCAGAACCTGAGGTAAAAAGAGGGGGGGGGGAGAGAATGGAGACTGAAGGGAAATTGAATTTGGGAACTTGTGGCTCAGCCTAGGAAGTGACCTGAGAGAGTCTACTAGGTGTATTCAAATGTGGAGGCCTCTTCAGATAGAGATAAAATATCAACTGTGGAGGCAACATGAAGCATTTGGACTGTCCAGACAGGTAGATCTATTATAAATGAGAAAGACCTAAGGTTCTCCCTTTCCTGGTCAGAAGAGCAGACCTTTCCATCAAGGCCGGTCCTACCATTGAGCAGAGCCTGTTTGTACAATCTACTGAACTACAAATTAGCTAACCATAATTTTAGTCTAGTACGTTCCACCAATCCAACCTGTATGATCAGATGATGGTTCAGTGTGCTATGCAGACTGCAAAAATTGGATTAACTGAGAAAATCCTGGTTGGCATGCAGAAATGTACATTGCTACAATATGGATTTGTATAGTCTCAGCCCTAATTTTGCTCCCCTGAACTTGTGTC